TTCAGAGCGAGAGAGAGAAAGAGATAATATCTAAATTAACTCATTGTCAAATCAAGTGTTTAGTCATTTTCCTCATTGTCTGTTGGACTAGCTTTGTTTGTCCTTTCATGTGCCCCTCTCCCTCACTCTCCCTTCCCCGAGACACCTTTTCCCAAGAATCACAGATATAAGGGATTTTCTATTCATTTCCACATCAGATAACTGCCCTCTGATGCAGATATTGAAATGCAAAGGATACAGATGGAAATTCCTAGCGAACATTATCTGGAGAACATCTCAACTGCGATGGTGAGTCAAAGGAGTTCTTTCATAAGAATACTTAATCTTTCGTCTTTTGTGGAACTAGTCGTCAGTGTGCGATAGTCCTGGTGATTCTACCTGTTCTAGAAGCACGTGACTCCTGGTGGAGGCTTATTGTGCCTTTAGATGGCTTCTGGAAAAGATGTACTACTGCTAAACTGAAATGAAATCTCAAGGATAAAGGCCACAATGGCTCAAATATTTCAAATTCAAATAGTTAACATTTACTTTTAAAAAATAGAAACTTCAGTTTTCTGTGCCTGGCTTTCTGATCATAGTTTCCATCTTTGCACTATTTCAAAGCTTCAGCCTAAACCACTTCACAACAATGGTATTTAGAGTTGAGACTTTTTATACTGCAGATAGAAGACCCAAAGTGCAGGACATCATCGAGGTCAAAATGAAGGAGAAATAAGGTGAAATAGATACTCAGTCTGTTTATATTGAATAGTATTTCTTCCATGCTATTATCAACTTATCAAAAAAGGTAATATCAAGAGGGATTGGTTAGGTGATGTCAAGTTTAAATTTTAAAGTCTGTAGATTGTAGGAGGAAGGGACGATTAAGGCAGGTAAAGGTCTTGGTGAGGTCTTGGAAAAGAATGAATTAGAGTAGGAGATGGTACATTGATAGTAATGGTGCAGGATGAAAGGACGATCATGTAGCTTGGTGCATGTACAGCAAATGAAGAAGAGAGAGGTCTTCAGAGGAGCAGTAATGACGGTATTAGTCATGGAAAGTGAGAATGAGGAGAAAGGTTGTGAGAGATTGAGATTAAATACCAGAGGCAGAGTATTAAAATGCATTCTTCAATGCTTGACCAGAAGAATGACAAAAGCTCTTAAAATAATAATAATAATAATCCTTGCATTTGCATCACGTTGTTGAGACATCTCAAAGCGCTTCACAGGATATGTTATGAACTGTGTATTTTGTGGGCAAAATGCAGCAGCCAATTGTGCAGAGCAGTGTTCCATACACTGTGGACTGAGTAACCATTTTTTTTGAGGGATTATTCCTGGAAAGCGATCCACCAATCGACTAACAACCAGGGTTCCTCTTACTACAAGTCAGTTATTTTTTTCCTGAAAGTAACATATTTGTATGACAAACACTTTAGAAGAAAATATTTATCCCAGTGTCATCCTTAAAACATAGGCTTGTGGTTTATGTACAGTAAGGATTGTGGTTTATGTACAGTAAGGATTGTTAATGTGTCCGTTTTGCTTATTTGGTAGCACTCTTGCCTCTTGGTCAGAAGGTAGTGGGTTCAAGCCCCATTTTGGAATTTGATCTCATAGGTTAGACATGCAGGCCTGTAATAACATTGAAGCACACTTACAGTGAGGTAAACAGAGGCGTGTGGAGTAAGGAAACTTGCCTCATGTTTTGCCATGCCAAGGGATCAAACCCAGGTCCTCTTACTTGTGAGGCGAGTGCTCTAACCAATATGCTACAATATACCAAACATCTGACATGTGCAGAAAACCACACCCCTCTGCTAATGTAAAGGACACCTGAACGTCACTAGCAGGAGCTCTACAAGGAAACCAACATAGGAGGAGAAAGTGGCTCATCAGTTAAATTGATAGCTTTTAACCTGCCATCTATTTCTATCTGTGAATTATAATTTTTCAAATGTCTGATATTAATAATATTAATAATCCTTGCATTTGATACAGCGCCTTATCACTTCTTCGAGACGTCCCAAAGCGGTTCACAGAATATCCTGTAAAGTGAATTCACTGTATATTTTGTGGGCGTAACGCAGCAGCCAATTGCGCACAGCAGTGTCCCACAAACAGTCGTGGATTGAGTGACCAATTTGTTTTTTTTCAAGGAATTATTACCCCCGGAAAAGCAATCTGCCAATTGACTACCTACCGGGTTTCTACTTAATGCTAGGTAAACAGAGGCATGTGGATTAAGGAAACTTGCCCAACGTTTCACCCTGCCAGGAGTAGAACCCAGGTCTCTCGCTTGCGATGTTAAAAATAAGGGCAACAGAAGAAAATAAGAAACGCAGGAAGAAAAAATGACAATAAGTTTCAAAACAAAAACTAGACAAGTTTCTGTCTACCAAAAGGATTCAGCGTTGCTGAATTTAAAGGTAGATAAATCGAAAGACTCAAGTGGGAAATTGAATGCATAGCTAGATGGAGAGATGGTCTACTCTTGTAATTTTGATGGAATCATCAACTGCAATATAATTATCATTATTAACCCCCCCTTCCCTCTCAAACCCTCATCAAATTTCTCTCCTGCAATTCTTTGTGAGGCGATTTTGTTCAGATTAGTTGGCTTTCACTTTATGCTGATGGTTGTGAATAGGACTCGTGTCTGCTTAGTGCACCCCACTCCCTTCACACTTTGGAGTGACAAAGTGATGGCACTACTGCAACACTTATCAAAAATTTGCAGATGATCCCAAGTCGAGAGGTACAGAAACCGTGAGGAGGATGGCAAGAGACTGCAGGTGAATTTAAATAGATTGGTGTAATGGGGCTGAACAGTGACAGGTAAAGTTTAATGTAATATAATGTGAGATGATTCACTTTGTCAGAAAAGACGAAGGTATGGAATGTATATTAAATGGCACTATCCTGCAAGGAGCAGAGGAACAAAGGGAGGTTGGAAAAGGTGCATAAGTCCTTGAAAGTGGAACGCAAGTGGAAAGAGCTGTGAAACGCACTAATGGTGTTCCGGATTTTATACATTGTGGCATAGAGTACAGATGTCAAGCAATAATGCTAAGTTTGTACACATCATTGGTCAGACCACAACTAGAGTACCGAGTTCAGTTTAGGGCACCTCACTTCAGGAACAACGTTAAGGCCTTGGAAGTGGTGTAGATGAGATTCATGAGAATTATACCAGATATGAGGGGTTATAGTTAAGAGTAGATTGGAGAAATTGAGAGGGGATTGTGGTGGGCAAAATTATGAGGGGGGGTTGACAGGGTGAAGCTAATTCCACCGGGAGAGGAATCAGTGACCAGGGGAGCCACGAGGCTAAGGCAGCCACAAGAAGAATAAAAGGTAAGAGTTGAGGAGAACGTTTTTTTCCCCACACAAAGAGTTGTTGGGATCTGGGACGTCCTGCCAAGTAAGGTGTCGGAGGCGGAGTCCATTTTTGGGTTTCAAGAGGGAAGAAGATGTGTATGTGAGAGATAAAGGCTTGAAGGGGAGGGGGGGGGAAATGGAGATAGGGCAGGAGAGTGGGACTGACCGAATGGCCTCCTTTTGAGCCGTAAATTTTCTAGGATTTCTCTATCAGGAAGTATTTTTCTTTTTTTCCCCCCAGGCAATGCTGTGGCAGGTGTGTTACAGGATCGGAATGTTGGTATGCAGTGTGTGTGTGTGTGTGTGCGCTGCAGTGGGAAGGTACAGCATCAGCAAAGGGAATAATGTGCTCCATGTGCGCGGCCACAGACACAAGGCCCCCCCCCCCCCCCCCACACACACACCACACCACTGAGGCAGATCTGTCACTGCTGAACCCACGTTACCGAATCATATGATTCGATCGACTGTTCTGTCTCTGCCCGACGCCCTCGTCAGCAAAAAACGAACAAGTGCAGCGGCGATAAGTAGCAGATAATCCGCATTTACTCCGCAGATGATAAGACTCCGGAGGGCGTCCCGGGACGGCGGATCTGAGGGGGGACCCCCACAGCGATGTTAAACGCGTGAAACCGAAGCCTCACTCTGACACCTGCAGACCCCCCCCCCCACACACACACACTCCCCTCCACCCCACTGTTACTGGTGCTGCCTAGTAACACACCGCAGGACTGGGTGTCGGAGGAACTGGGAGTTCAACCCATGCGGACCAGAGCCGAGGGTTGGGGGGGGAGGTGATGGTGGGGGGGAGGGGATGGTGATGGGGGGAGGTGATGGTGGGGGGGAGGGGGGAGGGGATGGTGATGGGGGAGTGATGGTGGGGGGGAGGGGGGAGAGGATGGTGGGGGAGGGGGAGGAGATGTTGATGGGGGGAGGGGATGGTGGGGGGGGGGGAGTGATGGTGGGGGGAGGGGGGAGGGGATGGTGGGGGAGAGGGGGGAGGGGATGGTGATGGGGGGAGTGATGGTGGGGGGGAGGGGGGAGGGGATGGTGGGGGGAGGGGGGAGGAGATGCTGATGGGGGAGGGGATGGTGGGGGGGGAGTGATGGTGGGGGGAGGGGGGGGAGGGGATGGTGATGGGGGGAGGAGATGCTGATGGGGGGAGGGGATGGTGGGGGGGAGTGATGGTGGGGGGGGAGTGATGGTGGGGGGGAGTGATGGTGGGGGGGGATGGGGGAGGGGATGGTGATGGCGGGGGGAGGGATAAATCTCAAGCTATTAGTAATAGACGCGTTCGCTGCTGTGGTGCAGAGCAACAATCTCAAAAGGGAAGGTAACAACCAGGAAATGAGGGTGAATTCCATGTGCAGCACTGCCCTCAGCGCAGCGCAGCGCCACAGGAGAGGTGGTGTTATTGACCGGGGATCGGTTTATCCGCCGAAACGGACTCGAAAAAGAGCCGCTCCTGCGATTCGAGGGTTCGAGGTGGGGAGGGGGGGGGGGGGGGCGCCCGGGCTGCAACCTGTGCATGTGTGCATGTGTGTGTGTGTGTGTGCATGTGTGCATGTGTGTGCATGTGTGTGTGTGTGTGTGCATGTGTGTGGGGGAGGGGGGGGTCAAGTTTGCTCAGTACTCACCCACTCTGAGTTCCTGTCCAAAGACTGTCTTCTCTCCGAGCGCTGAGCAGTTCCAGCGGCCGTACCTGAACTGGTACTGACATTCATTGATTCCCATCTGCGCGCCTTCCCCGATCACTATGATGGCATCGGGACGGCTCTGACAGATCGCCCGCTGCCGGGGCGCCAGACCCGGGATCTTGTTGCAGATAATATTCGCTCCCAAAGCCACCACCGAGGACAAGGCTCTGAAACACAACAGCGAGAGCAGGGATCAGACCCGGGGGGGCAGGGATCAGACCCGGGGAGGGCAGGGATCAGACCCGGGGGGGGCAGGGATCAGACCGGGGGGGGGGGGGGGCAGGGATCAGACCCGGGGGGAGGGGGGGCAGGATCAGACACGGGGAGGGGGGGGGGGGGGGCAGGGATCAGACACGAGGGGGGGGCAGGGATCAGACCCGGGGGGGGTGGGGGCAGGGCAGGGATCAGACCCGGGGGTGGGGGGGGCAGGGATCAGACACGGGGGGGGGGGCAGGGATCAGACACGGGGGGGGGCAGGGATCAGACACGGGGGGGGCAGGGCAGGGTCACGGCGAATAACACGAGCTCGTGTGTGTTGTGTTGTGAGTGTGTGTTGTGAGTGAGTTGAGTGAGTGCAATGAGAGGGTGCGATCGCTCCGGGTAGGAAGGCGTGTGCAGCGTTTCCACACACACATACACACACACACAGCTCAGGGAGCTTCAATACACTGGCGTCGATCCACATGCGCTCTGGATCAGCCCCGACCGAGCGGGGAGGGGGGAGGGAGGGAGGGCATCGCGCTCCACCAAAAGCTGCCGAGAAGCTGGATTTTCGTGGGATCTCGGCGCTGCCCTGCACCAAAAGCTGCAGAGCATTTGGGTGAGACGCTAATAGGAAGCTCCGTGGCTTTCCCTCCCCCTCCTCCCCCCGTCAAACTCGTGTTCTCGTCACTCCCACTTGGGGGGCAAAAAAAGAAGGGAGCGCAGGTTTCCTGAGCTGATCAGTTTTAACTCGAATATATATATATATATACATATATATATAAAGGGAGGAGGTGAGGGACGCACACGTCCGGCTGTGGGCTGAGACTGGTATGGTGGGGATTGACTTTTAACACGAGATGCATAACTTGTGGGAGAGGGGGTTGGGTTGCGGGGGGGGGGGTGGTGTGGGGGGTGGGGGCGAGTTTCAAAGAGAGCTCACACCATGGAGTTGATCAAACTTCTTAAGCTTTCTAACGAGGTTTAATTGCATCTCTCGGGAAGGCTCATTTCATGTTTTTTTTGGGGGGGGTGGGGGTGGGGGTTAGAAATAGGAGTAAAGGTACAGACACGGTGGGAATTACACACACGTTGGTTTGCAGCAAACAGCACCTCCAGCCTCTGGAGATCAGCCACACGCTGAGCGCAGGGTTACACAGGTAAACCTCGCGTCCAATGAAGGCGCTCTTCCATGTACAAAAAAAAGCAATGTAGCCAATAAATTTCAGCGCTTACAACTTTGCAGGTTACACAGTGAAGTTACAACTTTTTTTTAAAAGAGAGAGAGAGAGAGAAACAAAAAAAAAAGCCTTAGCGTTTCCAAAGGATTTTTTTTCTTAATTATTATTTTGGTATGACTTACAGATAACTTCCGCTGGTGAGGATCAGAAAGATCTGCGGGTAGTAAACTGACAGGATCACACTGCGGGATGAAAAGATGATCATGGTTGCCCTCTGCATAAATTCCTGTTTTTTTTTTTCTTTCCTGCTTTTTTTTATTATAATGTGATATCTACTAATCTGTAATCTCGGTCTTTGTGTGAGATCCTTGGCAGTGCTCGCTCAGCCTCGTTCAGTGTCTTGCCGGGCCCGAGGAGTGTTAGATGTGTGTTTTTTGCCTCTCTTTCATGACGGAGCCGTGGTTTGGAGTTGTTGGGAGTTGCTGTGCTAATAGTTGAGTGTTGTGTGGAGAGTGCCTCTGCTCTCAGGAGACCGAGTGCTGCAATTGGGCAGACACACTAATCCCCGCCACTGCAATCCGCCCACTCTCTTTCAAATCACAATGGGTCGAAAATGACAATGAAATCCCCCTCCGATCTGCCTATAGACAGCGCGACACGTCCCCCCACCGCAACCACCTTGTACTTTTTTTTGGGGGAAAAAAAAATGCATTAATTATCAGAGACGCAAAAAAAAAAAAAAAAAAAAAAATTAGAGGTGGAAAAAAGATAACAGCGGGGTGGCACGCCAGCCGGCAGGTAACGAGAGGGCGAAATTCGCCATGTAGAAAACTCTTTTATTTTGCGTTCAGTGCGAACTGTCATTTTTTGCCACACGTTAACTCGGTTGCTTTTTTGTTTTAACGCACGGGTGCAACTGCCGCAGAAGTGTTTCTTCGCAGAGCGTTCGCTTTTACTGTTGATTCTCCTACATGAAAGAACTCCTCCCTTCACCTCAGCCCCGATACACACTAATACTGTCACACTTGTAATCAGGGTCAAGAGCAAAGGCTGTGTGCAGTTCCTCAGACTTGCATTTTGAAAGGTTACAGTGTAAAGCCTTTTTTGTGCATTTGGCTCCTAATTACACGTAATCTCTAAATATCTCTAAATATTGCAGAAGGAAACGACAAGCCAGGCATTGGGAGGCCGTGATTTACTGGGGAAATGTTGAGATCCAATGATATCAAGAGAATCAAGTCCGATTTGCTAATAAGAGTGGGGAGAAACTTTCAGATATACAGCAATCACTGGCTTGATCTAACTGCCAACCGTTTAATATTCTTGATAATTTCTTGTCTACAGTTTATTTGAATACACATTAAATACATCTAATCATTGGTTGCCTGCAGTGCGCCAGATAATACGATATATGTGCAATGCAGTACGGATAATAGTAATTAAGAAGCCGTAGGTACAAAGCAACATATGATCACAGTTTGTCCCATCACAACAGAGTACTAACATTACTGGTACGTGTGTGTGATTGAGGGGGTGGGCGGACTTTGGTGGTGGGCTACCATCAAATAAAATATTGTCGGATGGAGAGTGCACAGTAGAGAATTGGGAATTTTATGTCTAATCACCTGTAAGAGACAAATTCACCATGAGAATGTTTTAAAGGGTCACCAACAATAATGGCCACCATTATCATTTTTACACAGTGGAGGAAGGAATAAGTGTTTCATGTACATGTACTTTGTTATATATAACCATTATTTCAGTGTCTTTTGGGCAGCAGTTAATTAACACGTAGTGTTCTCTAGTGGTAAAGATTGCCTTTTACTTCCCAGTGGAGCTAAATCGTGTACCCAACATGCAGTCGTATTGGTTATTATGTTTTTGCTATAAATAAGAGAGACAATGTTGTTTTACTTGGGCTTAAACGTTATTTAACTGGAAATGTGGTTCAATTGCTCTATCATACCAAGAAGGGCTACAATGATCCGAAAACAGTGATGTGGAAAACAACTCTACTGCGAAATACTAAAGAAGGACTTGTATATAGATAACTTCCATAAAAGCTACGCGTAGAGAAGGTGTGTTAGTGCAAGACTTGAGAGATTGACTGGATAACTGCTGAAGTAAAACTTTGGAGTCGGCTCAAGATCAGATATCCATCCCTTTGTTTGATTGGTCATATTTTCTATTCATAACGTCTAGACTTTCCACTGAACAGCAAATTAATGAAACTGAATGTCTTTACGACCAAATTGATCTGAGTAACTTTGTGGTGTCACTTCTGGTGCTTTGCTTCCTGTAGAAAGATGTGTGTCTCCATTGATGTTTCTCTGCATCAGTCCTCATTTCCAGTAGCATCCTCGTCCTTATAAAACTGAAGCTATCATTTAGTTGGAACTAAACACAAAAGAAGGGCTTGTGTCGTGGTTATACTAATACTGCACAGTAAATGTGTATCCCGCTATCAGTTTATCATGAGCCACTCAAATTGTCTTCAATTCCGTTTGTCTGTGTAGGAGAGAGGATGTAAGGAGATAGGAGCTGATGGTTGACAGATTTGACAATTTGTGAACCTGACCAGCGGTTCTGTTTGAAGCAGTTCTGTTTACCGGTGTGACTCACCCGGCCAGGTACATGTCAGTACCATTGATCAGAGGGTGGCGATGACAGCTTCAGCAAATTGCAGTGTTCTCCTTACCCATTTCAATAAGTAACCTTTTAGTTTGCTGACCAGGAGCTTAACAATGATCCAGTCAACGCTGTGTACAATGCTATAATTTATAATTCAGAACCTTCTCATTAAGCTAGAAGTCAACTAGAGTGAATAACAGTGACACGTAAATTGTATGCGATTCAAGACGATTTAAGATTATTTGTTGCAGCCCCATCACATAACTTGTTGAATTTCTTTTTTGCAGAAATTGTCGAGAGGCCGGGACAAACTTGACTGAGGGAGAAATGAGAGCCGGAGACTTTGCCTTCAATGGTTTGGGTGATATCTTAATAGGTTGAAGTCACAGGCCGGTAATTTACTCAGTGGAGGTAGACAGGTACTCTTTAAATGTAGGTTCGGTCTATCTGACAGAGATGTATTAGGTCAAACCCACCAGCCGCCATAATTGCACTTCAAACACCTGGATTAATCTGCGGTGGAAACATCTGCCATTTCATGACGTTTCATCCTTCCCTTAAAACAATTCAGCCTGAAGTCGTCTCTCAGCCGATGATTAAAGGAATATACATGAATTTGCATATTGGTTTAAACGACAGACTTTCCTGTTCATTCTTGCCATATAAGGCCATGGGCACCTGAGGCATCATTTCTGGAATTATTTTCGACCAGGTGTGAGATGAGGTTGGACCTGACACATACCTTTGGGTTAATTACCACTTTGGGTTTTAGCCAATAATATACATTATATTATGAAGCTTGAAACTGTTTTAAGAGTTGTGCATCTAAGCATTAGCTAATGCAGTTTACAGAACTGCCTTTGCTTTCCCGTTATCCCTCATAATATAAAGCCCACAAAACAGATAGGGGCTGCACTTCTTTCCAACGTGTCATTTATAGTGATGTGCATTGCGGGCTGATTGCGGGAGTGATGTGCACGCACGAGAGCGGCTCTTGGAGTTCCTTACAAGTTCTACAAGGTACCTGGAGGGGATTGCGGTGGGCTTTACGTGTGTGATTGCAATTTCATTGCATAACTCAAGCCCAAACCAATTTGACCTCAAGTCCCACATCAGCCAATTACAAATTTATTAATATCCAGTCTTTTTTTTTAAATAATCCTTTGCTTTGACAGAAATTGAATCAAACAGAATCTGAGGTTCATAAATACATTCTTCATGACACTGCCCCGAGAAACCCAAAGGGCCACAACTGTACAGTGGGCAATAAATCACAACAGCCAGATTGCCTCTTTGTAAAATTGACCATCTCGATGAGGACGTGGCCCGGGAGAAGGGATGTCGGATCGTCTCTTCCAAGGTTATCCTGATAATTCAGAGGCGTTTTCCACAGTAATAAAGAACGTAAGGGGCATTGGAAACCTAACACTAACAGACCTTTATCTGAAATAATTTGGTAGATTGCTTTTTTAAGAATATCCTTTATTATCTATAATAATTGCCTTTGAATATTTCTCCTTAACAAATTGCAGGTTTCGTTCCTGTAACGACCTCATTCGCTTCTCACAGTCGTTAGGGCCTGAACCGCAGTGACACCTGACCTGTCTGTGTTGGGTATTTGTTGCAGGGGGTTAAGGACAGCCCTGATGTACAGTATAATGTTTTTAAATTTGATCTTCCGCATGATCATTTATAGTCGAAATGGATTGCAGCTGTTAATTGCCATGCCGGGTAGGACGCGAGGTATTATCAGAGGGTCAATGTTGAGCAAAAGACAGAATGTACAGAGAGCTAAGACACGGGGCAATTCTGTTCGCTGGAGATCACTATATACCCTTGCTAAGATTGCTCCTTAGAGAACAACTGGAGCAGCTGCAGGTTGTGGATGCGCTGCGTAATTGTGTGTTTTGCAAAGAGCCTTTCTTGCTCTTACCCCCCTCTCCAGTATAATAACAATACCGGATCAAAGATTCATAACTACCAGGTAAACTAAGTAGGTCGCCTTTGTGAGTTTGCTGGGGGTTGGTGGTGGGGAGGGGGTGGGGGGGGGAGCCCAGATACCTGACCCCAGGACTATGAGTGTTGCCCAGCAGCGAGACTGGATGGCTGGAGAATATATGAATGAATGACCGGCTTTGAAAGACGCTTTGAAAGGGCGCATTTCCACCGGGGGAGCGCACGCGTGCAGCTTCCTTTCGCACTCCGTCTATCTTTGATCACCGCAACTCGAGGAGCGTGAATTTCCGCAACGCGGACATCACACGGCGACAGGGAAAGGTGCGAAGGTCTCTCAGCGTTAAATAAGCGACTGCGCGGGTGCGCGCATTTTAACGGAACAACACGCCTGTGTCTTAAGGTGTTTGAAATCAGGGCCTGTGACCCAGGCTGAAAATATTGTATATATATATATATATATATATAAACAAATCAGGCGAAGAGGAATAGGTTTAAAATGTCTGAAGCAGGTTCTGTCAACCAGGAGTCTGGTTCGTTAATTTGATCAACTACACACACACACACACATACACAGCTCAAGTGCTTCCTTTAAAGCGGTTGACACGCAGCGCGATAGACACCCAGTGTCCCCCGATCAAACTGGAGCAATTGTACCGGTGTCTGACAGCAAACAGCCTCCGCGAAGCGTAATATTCTCATAAGTATCGATGGCAGAAAGCGCATACGTGCAGGTTCCTCCCAGACCACATATCTCGTCTGTAAATTGTTTGTGTAACGTTTGATCAGAGGTTCTCACAGAAACAGATTTGTACCTGGAACCAAACATGGGTTATTCCTCAACTGGATTTTAACTGAAACTAAATGAACGTGCTGTGCTGGCGATAAAGCCCAGGTAAAACACATTGCAGGTGCGTTTAGCAGCCTGGGGTGCAAGGTGAAGCCAGTAAAGGTGGACCCAACTGAGAGGACAGACACCCACAGACAAAGGCTCTGTACCGAGCATTATGGTGAATTTCTCAAGAATTCAGGCGATGTTCTTTTGGGGAAGAGTATTTTTTGCATCAATTTCTTAAAAGTCATTGGCTCTGAACCCGGAACGGTGATTTAAATCTGAAGGGATT